TTATTATGTTCCGAGGCTCATGAAAAGGCCTTGGTAAAGTTCCTTAAAACTGCCCATGTACCTCAAGAAACATCTGTCGATCAGTTCCAAGACTGCGTAGCTAGCTTGACTGCAGATAATGGTTTAGGTTTTTCAAATGCTGATTTAACGCCAAGAGGGAGGAAGTATAATGAGGCATTGTATGTCTCAGTGGAATGCAGGGGAAGGACGTTGGCTCATGTCTTGGTTGACACCGGTTTGTCTATGAATGTGTTGCCTAAAAAGGCTCTTGATAGGCTTGACTGCGAAGGATTGACATTGAAACCAAGCAACATAGTAGTGAGAGCCTTTGACGGCTCAAAAAGAATGGTGCATGAGGAAATGGATATCCCCATAAAGGTTGGAACCCAAACATTTGATTCAACTTTTTATGTAATGGATATTCCCCCTTCATATTCATGCTTATTAGGTCGTCCATGGATTCACAATGTTGGCGCAGTTACCTCTACGCTGCACCAAATGCTGAAATATCCAATTCAAGGGAAGATCATCATTGTTTATGGAGAAGAAGAGTATATGACCAGTCATCTAAATTCCTTCAGATATGTGGAACTAGATGGTGAATTTATTGAAACTCCATTCCATCATTTTGAAGAAGTCCCGCAAGATGTGGCAGTAACCAAGGTTGTGTCTCAAGTTCCAAAGATCACAAGGCCTCCACTCAAGATGTCGTCTTTGAAGGATGCCAAGGCAGTGATAGAGGAGGTGGGTGAACTATTTGGGGATAACTCCCAGATATCCCATACAAATATGACAAATTTGGTATGGGTTTCACTTCAAGTGCCCAAAAAGTTGTACACCGCGCTCGTGCCGAAAGACCACCCTTAAAGATCAGCAACCACCAAGTCAGTGCAGTAGAGGATGATGAAGATAACTACAACCTGGAGGATTAGATTTTCCCAACTTTCAGTGGAGGGCTCAACAACTGGGAGGATAGAGATTTCATCCCAATCACTTTTATCCCACAGTAATTTGTCTTTAGATTTTATTGGATCTGTAATATTAAAACAATTCAGACTCTTAAAACCTTGTGTCTTACCCGAGGCACGATGGTCCATTTGTAAGGGTTATTATCTTATTTCCATATGACATCAATGAATCATGGAAGTTTTTGCATACAAACTTTGTGATCATTGTTTTTCTTTTTTACATCTTCATTTCTTCCAAAGATAGTTATACTCTTACACACACTCACACTCACAATGCAGGTCTACATCCACTCGGGATCCCATGGGTAACGGTTCTGCTATAGCTTTTGGTGACTCTGAAAATCTAATCTACCAAGCCGGAGACGAAGGTGAGGAAGATTGTGAAGTACCAGGGGAACTCGCCAGGTTACTACAACAAGAAGAGAGAACCATTCAGCCCCACGAGGAACCAGTGGACACAATCAACCTAGGTACCGAAGAAGACAAAAGAGAAGTCAAGGTGGGTGCCAATATGGAACCCGGTATTAAAGAGCGTATGATTCAGTTGCTACACGAGTATGTTGAGGTCTTTTCCTGGTCGTATGAAGACATGCCGGGACTTGACGCATATATTGTGGTACATCGTCTACCAACAAAAGAAGATTGTCCACCGGTGAAACAAAAAGTCTGTCGTATGCGACCAAATATGTCGGAGAAGATTAAAGAAGAAGTCATGAAACAATTCAACGCTGGATTCTTGGTCGTCACCTCCTATCCGCAATGGGTTGCCAATGTTGTTCCCGTGCCCAAAAAGGACGGCAAAGTACGAATGTGCATAGACTACAAAGATTTTAATAGTCCAAGCCCTAAGGATGATTTCCCACTTCCCCACATTGATGTTCTAGTTGACAATACGAAACAACACAAAGTGGTTTCCTTCATGGAAGGTTTCTCAGGTTACAACCAAATCAAAATGGCGCCTGAAGACATGGAGAAGACAACCTTTGTCACACAGTGGGGCACATTCTGCTACAAAGTTATGCCATTCGGACTGAAGAATGCTGGGGCAACCTATCAACGTGCCATGGTAGCTCTATTTCACGACATGATACATCACGAAATAGAGGTCTATGTGGACGACATGATAGCTAGATCTCAAACAGAGTAAAATCATCTTGATCATTTATAGAAACTGTTTGAGAGACTAAATAACTACAAGTTGAGGTTGAACCCAAATAAATGCACGTTTGGAGTGAGGTCTAGTAAACTCCTAGGCTTTGTCGTTAGCAATAAAGGTATTGAAGTAGATCCTGCCAAGGTGAAAGCAATAAAAGAGATGTCTGCTCCTCGTACTGAGAAGGAAGTCAGAGGATTCTTGGGACGTTTAAACTACATTGCCAAATTCATATCTCATCTGACAGCTACTTGTGAACCAATCTTCAAATTACTGAAGAAAGATCAAGTAGTCAAATTGAATGATGAGTGCCAAACTGCTTTTGATAAGATCAAAGAGTACTTACCAGAGCCTCATGTTTTGATGCCACCAGTCGAGGGAAGACCATTGATCATATATCTGACCGTTTTGGAAAATTCAATGGGGTGTTGTTTACCGTGGTTATTGGTAAACAACCGCTGATCCTCCAAATGGTTACTTATTTGGTTACTCGCAGGATCGATCAGATTGATCCTAAGACATGGTTGATTTTGAGGTTTTGATTAAGTTGGATAATGGTTAAATGACAAGAAAATAAAGAGGCTTTAAGTAAATTGCATGAAGAAATGGGCTTGATAAAATAAATGAAGGCTTGAAATAAAGGGCTTCGACAGGAAAAGTAAAGAAGAAAGCAAGTAAAGTTTCTGGAAAATAAATGACTTTGATTAATAAAAGTGGTGTTTCACACATACATTCTCAACAATTCTTTCTCACACGCTGGGTACTCGAATCTATATGAGTGACTTTGTATATATTTGTGAACACACGCGAAAAACTGCGTGAACTACTACTATTTATACTAAAACATCCCAAGTAACCGTCGGGCAGTTACACTGCTTCGAGATGACTCCACTTGGCACGTTCTCAGCGTTCGACGCTCCAGATCTTTGCACGTTGCACTTGGTAACCGCTGGTGTTGCACCCCAAAATTTGCCCTCCCATATTCTTCAAGAAATTGCCAAGCTAAGTCACAAAATCCCCCAAGGCTTGTGCAGTGCAACAATCTCCCATACAGTCAAAACTAGGGTTTGGGTTCTGATCAGGAAAATGAAGTTTTCAAAGGCCCAATCAAGTCTCATATGCTTGCAATGTGGTCAAGTATCCTCATATCAAGTTTCAAGGCATTCAGCTCAAAATTGCACAGTCAAAACCCTAAATTGCACTACAGTCAACTGTAGGGGCAAAATGGTCATTTGACAGTCAAAAGTTCAAATTTTTGGTCAACATATCATTTTGAAGCCACAAACATCATTTGATCAATGCTTGATCATGATTCTCAAAATTTGGCTCAGAAATCATCAAAGATGCAAAAGTTACTATATTTGGACAGCTGAAAAAAGTCAACTGAAATTGACCAGGGCATAACTTTCACATGGATTATCAGAAAAATTCCATCCAAAGCTCATTTTGAAGAGAAAGACATTTCCTACAACTCATCTTCATACTTCAAGTCCAAGAAATGCTCTCACAAAAAGTTATCAATTTCAACATTATAGGTCATTTTCAAAAGTCAACAAAAAGGGACTTTAAGTCAAAGGCCATAACTTGAGATTGGTAAATCAAAATGACATGGGACCAAAGGCATTGGTTAGAGTACTCAAAGACCTTTCCAAAATGTCCAAGAACATGAGAAAAGCTTAAAAATTGAGCAAGTTATGCCTTGTGGAAGTTGGGAAATTTTTGGATATTTTGAAAAGTCAACATTACTTCAAATGACCTAAAATTGCTAATGGGCCCATTTTTCTTCCATAATTCATCATCCAAGGCATGTGCACGACCACTTGGCCCAAAGGGAAGTTTTTCTTCATTTTTTATTTATTTATTTGAATTTTTATTAATAATAATTCATTTAAATCAATTAAATACATGAAAAAATACTTAACCTAAGTTTTTCAATCTTTTTATGCATATAATATCTCCAAGATTTTGTGCAAGTTAGATTAGGAAAGAATTGAAGATAATTGGTCATGATTTGAACTAAGTTTGCATGAAAAGATTAGAAAATATTTTGCCATTAAAATCAAATATTGGATTCATGGTTACAAGGCTTTTGGACTCAAATCTTTAACCTAATCCATTCATACATAGAGGCATAATGAAAAACCTAATAGAAAAAAAAGCAATATATACATCACAATGGCCTTCTTTTCTCTCACGTACAAAACTTCCACCCTTTCACCACATTTTTCTTTTCACTTTAGCTTTGTTTTGTTTTTGGCATGAGGAGACACTAATATTTTCTATCCACAGACGCCATTCACAAGATTTCAAACACATGTTTTTTTGGATATATTATTGCAATGATTGATCTTTAGTGTATTATCTCTAAATCACGGATAAAAGATCTTAGGTTTTTACATTTGATACTCTAGTTTTTTATGTCTCAGTACTAAGTGAATGCGTCAAATTTTTTCTGTCTGAATTTGTCAAATTCTCACGTTTCACCAAGCATCCTATTGTCACTAATTTCTATTGCTGAAAAACTCACATAATGATCACCTCATAAACTTTTCAGAAAACTCCACTGTATTAACATCAAATACAAATTTTTAGCACCAATACAAACATCCCTTTTTCAATCAAAAAAAAATCACCTTGTTCAAATAACTAACATCACCGTTTCAAAACAATCTGCAGAATTGTTCAAGCAACTAAACAATCACCATTGTTGTTTGCGTATCTGTTTTGTTTGTTGTGTCTAAATGTTTATAGGAAGAGGGAATAAGGAAACCTGAACCGCAAAATATAATCACCTCTACTTCATCCACCACTGTTCATATCTTCTGGCGCCGAACACCGCGACCCACCGAGACCTCCCCTGACGCGCCGCTTCCATAAACTCAGTTGTACCCTTGATTCACTATGAATCTGCACCAGTCAAGACCGGCTGGCCTCCACAGACCACCGCCGGAATTCGTCCTTGAAGGCATAACCTGTGCAAATTTATTTTTCTTTTTTAATTGTTTGCAGGAAAAGAGAGAATGTCTGAAACAAAAGAAAAAGCTGATGCGATCCTCGTTTCTGAGACAACCACGGCCACGCATCCAGTCATAGTGAGAAGACAAAGCTACCGACGCAAACGAATTTGCGGCCGTCCACAGTGCCTTCCTGCAACCACACGTCCTCCGCCGATCTCCTTGCAAATGGGGCAACACGATATAACCCCGGCGAATCTGCTCCGACATCCGCTCGGATGCCCGTTCCGACGACGCTGACAGCATCTCTGCCTTCCTCTGCGTGTCTCACCGACTCGCCGTTAAAGCTCCTGGAACCGGTAACGTTTTCTACCACTCTTCATTGCCTTTGTTGTCTCTACTGTGTTGGTAAATCACAGGGATCTATTGCTTGGTGAAAGAATTCGGGAAGAATTGGTTTTAAATTGAGAAGAGGAAACAAGTTGAATGAGAAGAAAGAGCGATAGTTTCGGTTATTGGGAAAGCAAAGAGTTCAGGGTTTTAAAGTATCTTTTACTCTTTTTTTTCTTTTCTTTCACCATAATTAACCATTAAATATTATTGTTGTAAATAAAGCCTTATTAATTAATTAGTTTTAATTTAGGAATAAAATCTTAATATTTTCTTAATTAATTTAAAATTGGTAGAATTAGTTTTAATTAATTTTTATCCTTCTTCTTTCTTTTCTTTTCACTAGTAATTAAATATTTATTTTTATGAATTAAATCGTATTAATTAATTAGGGTTAATTTTAGGTTGAACTTTAATATGTTTTCATAATAAAATAAAAATTGTAGAATTAGGATTAGCATCTCAATTTAATTAATCTCATTAAAATTTTAAAATACAAAAATACCAAAAAAAACAATTCCTTTTCTCTTTTAATTAATTAATTCCATCATTTAATCTAATTTTGCAAAAAGGGTCCACCGCCCTCGTTTTAATTCTTATCTAATTCGCATATTTATTTTATTCTTTAATATTTATGTATCTCTCCCAAAGCCATGTAACTCGGACATTTTATATTTCTCGCACTTTAGTTCTTTATTTATTTTCTGTCAAATCGGGTTCTGGAAATTTTGGCGATGTGGACCCGCGCCTTTGTAATAGTTTAGAACTTTTATCTTTCCGCACTTTTTAACTGTTAACAAATGGCATGAAAGACTGTATGGACAAAAATAAAAACAAGCGTAGAACACCAATAACATGACAAGATAAATGCAAATGAAAACGACACACAAGTCACACACCACCCCTAGGGTACGCCTCACTGTTGCCTTGCCTCGAAAGGTGATCGTCGAGTAGAGGATGTCTTAGTAAGTCCTCATGATCCGGGAACCTGGCATGAGGGTAGCTTCTAAGGTGTCTTCCCATTGCTCTGGTGATCACCATGTCCCGAACCTCGAATTGACCCGAACACCTCCAACGGTGGTGCTACCTACCTCTCAATGGTGGGATGGCACTACTTTAAAGGATATTTACACAGACGAATTCCTTAGGGTAGGTAGGTTCTCAAGGATACTTGCTCTAATTTCAAACGAAAAAGACTTTTCACACCAACACATTTTCAAAAGCTTTCAAAGCAAATTTTTTCAAACACTCTGACGTACGAGTCGAACTGAAATTTTTCAAAGAAACTTTTTAAACCCACATTGAAAAGCAAACAAACAATTTTGAAAACACATTGAGCAAGTATCTAAGAGCCCATGGATAACCATGGATAGAAAGGGTGCTAATACCTTCCCTTTCTATAATCTACCTCCCGAACCGAGAGCAATCTCTTTAAGGAATTTTTCTGTGCTTTTGTCCTTTCCATTTGGAGAAAATAAAAGACGGTGGCGACTCTTGCTTCCGCGACATTTCGCGAACCAGCATTAAACAGTCAGTTCCAGATCCACCGATCACAGAACTGGCGACTCTGCTGGGGACTAAACTTAAAGTGGGGTGTACCTTAGGGCTAGCTCATAACTATGTTTTCAATTGTCTTCTTTGCTTGCTTTATTATTGTGGGTTGCTTGGGAGTTCTATAGATCCTAACCCGGATCTGGGGGATACCTTTCTTAGAAAGTAGCAACAAGGCTGTGAGGGAACTGTGCGGGGTATACCGACATGGTTGAAACAGTCTGCTACGTTGATGTGGCACTTTGGTGTGTACCGGTAACCCTTGAGTTCAGTCAAGGAGAGTACGGGGCCTCCGCGTGGTGTCGTGAAGCATCAACAGACCTTAGGAACCTTAATTGAACTATCTTGGCCTCTTTAGGGTAGTGAGATAACTGACTTTGGTGCAGTCCGAGGTTGGTTGATACTCGATACTACACTCAATTGAGGGTTGCTTTCCTGGAATATTTCGGTCGCCAGTTCAGTGGCTAAATCGAAACGATGAACAATGAAAGCAATCCCGTGATATTGGGAACCTTAGAACCCGGTTACTTTGATTAGGACAGGTTGAACCCACCAACTTCAAGAGGGTACTACCCAGACCCCATGCTGGCCTTAAACCTTAAGGGCTTGTCTTGTGTGCCTTGTGTGCCTTACATGTTTGTCTTTGTAAATATCTGTGGTGTGTTTAATCATAGCATCATGACATCATCCAGCATCATATGCATTGACTAACCATTTCAGGGGTTCGGATTTTCATCTTTGTTCTTGTTTTGTAGGACATGGAAACTGTTCGTAGAAAGACAATTCAGGTCAGTCTTGTAAGGATCCCTCCTCAGCTTAAGGAGCTCATATCCAGGATTCCCGAGAACTCTTCATTCAGTGAAAGGCATGGAAGCCTCATCAGCTTGGTCAACACCAACATTGAGGAAGATATGATAAAGGTCTTGTTCCAATTCTTTGACCCTCTGCATCACTGTTTTACCTTCTTGGACTATCAGTTGGTACCTACATTGGAGGAGTTCTCCCGGCTCCTGAAGATCCCTATCCTTGATCAGCTACCCTTCAACGGTACAGAAAAGGAACCTAAGCTTGAAGAGATTGCTAAAGCTTTGCACCTACAGTCATCTGACCTCAAGGGACATTGGGAAGTTAGAAGTGGTATCAAAGGGTTCTTAGCCAGATTTCTGTTTGAAAAGGCCCTTGAATGTTGGAACTCCCTTGACTTGCAAGCTTTTGAAGAGATTGTGGCCCTCCTTGTCTATGGTTTGGTGTTGTTCCCTAACCCAGATCAGCTTATTGATATCAGCGCTGTCCAGATCTTTATGTCCAGGAATCCTATACCTACGTTGCTGGGGGACATCCTTCACTCATGTTACACTCGAACCATGAGAAAAAGAGGTGTCCTTATGTGTTGCACTCCTCTCCTGGGAAGGTGGTTTATTTCGCACCTTCCGCAATCATTCTTGAAGAATGAGCGGGGTTTGAGATGGTCACAACGGTTGATGACTCTTACACATGCAGGTATACATTGGTGCCCTAGGTCCAGAGAAGATGTCACTATCATTGATCGTTGCGGGGAGTACCCTAATGTTCCTTTACTTGGAATCAGAGGAGGCATTACTTATAGCCCATGCCTGGCTTGGAGACAGTTCGGGTATGCTCGGAGGGATGGTCCTCATGACATGTTAATTCCTGACATAGTTTTTGACTTCGACAATGATACTCAAGGACTTCGCCAGAGATTTATCAGAGCCTGGAGGATGCCAAGTAGGATAGACAGCAAGACACTGGGGCATAGGAATTCCATCCCATTGGAGCCTTATCTCAAGTGGGTACGCGCCCGCTCTCAGAAGTTAGTGATGCCCTATCCTCATATGCTCCCAGTAATCAAAGAACCTGCCTTGGAAGGGGAAGTGTCCCACATTATTCAGCATCCTGATATGCCCACGTCCTGGGAAGAGATGCAGAAGAGCTGGATCCAGCTTAAGGAGGAAAGGAATTCTCTCGAGACTAGTCTGCATGCCAGTGAAAAGAAGGTCTTGGAGCTCACCCGACTGTTGCATAAGGAGAGGAATCTCAACACCTACATAGCTCCGAAGAGGATGCGCAGTGTATTTTGGGATTGACTTGATTTTTGTACTTTTGCCCATGAGGCCTTGATGTATTAAACAATGATTTCTTTAATGATAACGTGTGTTCCTTTTGTCTACAACGAATTTGAACTTTCGAACCCTTGAATGCATTGCATACACATTTCATACATCATGTGCATAGCAGGTTTTTCCACTTTTCAGGTTGCTTACAGTTCTTCGCTGTTTATTTCAGCATCATGAATCCCGAATCTGCATCAACCGAGACATCAATCAAGGCTCTTCAGGCGCAGAATGCGCAGTTTCAAGAATTAATCAAGGGTCTGGCTAAAGGCCAAGAAGAACTGAAGACTATGCTCCTGAAGAAGGAGAAGAAGAAGAAGAGAAGAACTGTTCTGTTCAACTCGGGCCGAAGGTTTGGCAATACTCTGCAACATGAAGAGGCTGGTTCTTCTGTTGGCAAGAGTCCTTCTCAGGCAGAAGTAAAGGTTCCTAGTCCGGTAGTCTCCGACAACGAGATGGATTTTGATGAAGAGCAGTACCCTCCTTCAGATGACAGATATAAACAACTGGAGGACAGGTTGAAGGCTATGGAGGTTCAACAGGCACCTGGGCTGGATTTCGGAGATCTGGGTTTGTCGACTGGTGTGATTATCCCGCATAAGTTCAAAGCACCATCCTTCTCCAAATATGACGGGGCATCTTGTCCCAAGCTGCATTTAAGGTCCTATGTTCGGAAAATTCAGCCGTACTCTGCGGATAAGAATCTATGGATCCACTTCTTCCAGGAGAGTCTTCCAGGGACTCATCTCGAATGGTTCTATCAGCTGGATGGGACCAAAGTTCGTAACTGGGAGGAGCTGGCTACTGCTTTCTACAAGCAGTATCAATATAATGCCGACCTTGCCCCCACACGTACCCAACTCCAGGGTATGGCGTTAGGTGCAAGTGAAGGTTTTAAGGAGTACGCTCAGAAGTGGAGAGACCTGGCTGGCAGGGTGCAGCCACCATTGACTGATCGGGAGCTGGTTGACATGTTCTTGGGGACCCTATCTGGGCCATTCTTCAACCATCTCATTGGGAATTCTTCTGCTGGTTTCACTGATTTGATCTTGACTGGAGAGAGGATTGAAGCTGGGCTGAAGTCTGGGAAGATTGCAAAGGGTGCATCATCTAGTTCGGAAAAGAAACCATTCAAGAAGGAGTCTAGTGCCGTGTATGGTTCTAGGAAATCAGAGAGACCTGAGCACCGCCAATCTGTCAGTGCGGTGATGATTGCTAAGCCTGCTGCCGCTC